CCTCCCTAGTCTGCGGCTCTGCTTCCTCCCGAGAGAATCTAGTTGACTTAGAAGTGAAAAAGCCGGCCAGGCCTGTTAGCAGCACCTGTGAAAGAGCCATTCACGTAGTAACAAAGCCATTTAACAGGCATTTGCCAAGCTCTGTCAATTTATGGTGTTTGATTTGACAGGGCCTCAGTTTAAAATTTGTTTTAAAAATATTTCCTAAGTGTGTTGCTGAAGATTCTAAAATCCTGTCTCTAAAAAAATCGTCGGTCCCTTGCCCCCAGCTGCTATCTGACATCGTAGCGTCGGTTTAATAGTGCTGTGTAGGGCCCCATAGTGGCCCTGCCTGTAGACGCCTGGGTTTGACGTGTGCTACTGCAGTGTTTCTCAGCCAGTGGTACAGGTACCCTCAGAGGTACTGGAGAGAAGTCTGGGGAGTACGTCAACACAACTGAAATCTGGAGAAAACTGAATTTTTGTTACGTATCAGAGGGGTAGCCGTGTTAGTCTGGATCTGCAAAAGCGACAAGGAGTCCTGTGGCATCTTATAGACTAACAGATGTATTGGAGCGTAAGCTTTTGTGGGCAAAGACCCACTTCGTCAGATGCATCTGACAAAGTAGGTCTTTGCCCATGAAAGCTTATGCTCCAATACATCTGAATTTTTGTTTTAAGTTTGTGTACTTTTTACACCCAAAAATTTCATTGTCCACCCGGTTACAATTAAGTTGTTTAAACCAATGTGTTGCAACAGTAGAAAAAAATTGTGTGTCTGAAAACTGTAGGTACTGAGGGTACTTATAATAAGAATTATTTTTTAAAAGGGGTACTTTATATAAAAAGATTTAGAAACACTGTGCTATTCAGTAGGGTGAAGAGCCGCGCCAGACACAAGGTGAGGGATTTGCCGGACCTGTGCTTTGATCTGGCATGGCAAACACTTGGGGCCTGAAGGAGCATCTCTCTATAGCTGTACTTCTCTGAGTGTAAAGCATAGGCAACAACAGCAGACGCAAGACAGTGGAGAAGAAGGCTGTCGTTTCTCAGTGCAATAGATTTCCCTAGGCACTGCATTCCAGATGTATGATTCAAGTGCCACGGAAGTTCTCACAAGAGGTTTAAAGTCATTCATAGGCCTCGTGCTGCACTGGGATGATGCAGAGTAGCGACAGTGTAACACTCAGAGCCAAACCGGAGACCTCTGGGGTATGTGTACACTGCCACCCTAGTTCGAACTAGGGTGGCTAATGTAGGCATTCGAACTTGCAAATGAAGCCCGGGATTTAAATATCCTGGGCTTTATTTGCATGTTCCTGGGCACCATCATTTTTAAACGCCCTGTAGTTTGAACTACCTGTCAGCGGCTACATGCAGCATGGACTAGGTAAACCTCCTTGCAGGAGGAATAACGGTAGTTCGAATTAGGAGCTTTAATTCGAACTACCTAGTCTGTGCCGCATGTAGCCGTGGGCAGGTAGTTCGAACTATGGGTCATTTAAAAATGGTGGCGCCTGGGAACATAAAAATAAATCCCGGGCTATTTAAATCCCAGGCTTCATTTGCAAGTTCGAATGCCTACATTAGCCACCCACGTTCGAACTAGAGTGGCAGTGTAGACATACCCCTGGAGCGGTGTGCAGGGGCCTCTACTGCTTGAGCTAAAAGCCAGCTGGCCCTCAGCTAGGGATGTTAGCCAGTAGTCGACTAGCACAAGCTTACTGGGTGGTCGACTGGAATATCGACTAGTCGCTTCCTCCCCTGCCTTGCTGAGAGGCAGCAAAGGGGGGAAACAGGAGCCAGCGCTGTGAGAGCCGGCGCTGCCTCTATCAGAGGCAGCAGGAAGGGGAGAAGGGAGGCTGCTACGATTAGCAATTCCTAACTGGTAACATCAGATCTGCTCCTGTAGGTGCTGCACATCTCCCACAAAGTGCCAAGCACCCACAACCGTTACCGTGAGTAGGAAACCAGGGTACCTAGCACCTCACAGGATCCGGCCTGTTGCTAATTTCCTGGCCATGGTGGTTGCTTGGCTAATTGATTTTGCTGAAGTGCTTTAATAAGCAAGACGCACTTCCTCAAAGGGGACTTGTGTCTGCAGGCACGTCTCTGTGCTCTCCAGGGTCGCGGCAAGGCTGCCGGTGAGCAGCTTATAGTAATTTGCTGGCTGCATGAACCAGCGAGTTGATTTCATAGTTATTTCCCAAGCCTTCCTCTGGCCCAAGCCCTCCTCCTCTTCCTATCCTTCAGGTCCCTGAGAGTTGTTCCATTAGCTTCAGAGGGAAAGCTCGGTGTTAATACTAGTCTCCTAAAACGCCATGGTTCCAGCAGCTGGGGCCGTGATGGCGTTACAGCCGCAATGTGAATTGTGTTTTGATTCAAAGAAGGGATGTAAAATCCTGATTAATCAGTTAACTGGTTAAACATTAGTTAACCCACCGTTTAACCATCTAATTGGGATTCTGGGTGATGGTAACTGGTAACTGGTTACCAGTTCACATCCCTAACTCAAAGCGGTCCCGGTTTCTTTTTTTCAAGTGAAATTAGAAAGTGATAAAGCATGAGAGAGATTCCTGAACCCAGTAGCTTTTAGAAGCTACGCACAGGTAGGAGCTCTGCTCCCGCATCCTGTACTGCTTCCTAGGAAAGCAGAAGTTCATCTACAGCTGCCATTTATTCCCCAACTAAATGCAAATAACCCTTCTCTCTGAGCCGACGGGTGCAAAGGAGCTTGGTTGTGTCCTCACTACAGGCGAATCCTTTAGCAGCCAAGAGCTCCCACTGTAGCCATTTGGCTTGGTCTTCAGTTGCACAGTGTTGCCAACGCTTGTCATTTTTCTCACAAATCTTAGACTTTTTAGAGATTTTCCTAAGGCCCCAGCTGCTGGAACCCCAGTGAGGTATGAGGTTAGCAGTTCATCAGCAGAGCTCAGTGCTCTACAGCAGGATCGATGGATTTGTGGGGCCAGGTGGAGGGGGCCAGCTCTGTGCCCCCAGAAAGGGTGGGGCTGAGGGCAGTCAAAAAGCCACCAGCAAGACCAGCTGAGACCACAGCATGTAAAGCTCTTGGCTGTCACGGGCTGCAGCCGTGCTGGGAACAAACTAGCTGGGTGCCGGCAGACAAGCAGCATGCTTCGAAATGTCAAGGTGCAGGGCCCAGGAAACAAAAGGATCTGTGTCATACCGGTAAATAGCAGAGGAGCTTCATGGGAATGTTTAGTGCACAAGGAATGCAGGGAGAGTAAGTAGGAAATCAATAAGCAAGGATCATTTAAAGTCGCATTCCACACCCCTCTGTTGGCAAACCAGGGCAGCCAGAGAGCTGCTGTATCCGTGTAAGCTATTTACCCACAACTCCCACTGGAGAGAAGCTACATAAGGAAGGAAATCTCTGCTCCAGTTTGTGGGTGAACAGCAGGCCGTGTAACGACAGAGATCTTCTTTTGCATCAGCTTCCTCCCCAGAATTCCTCCACTTTCAGAGCCACAAACTCAGGATGGGCGTTAGGTAATGGAAGGGGCTTAAAAGCAGTTTGTGATTGGCTTCAAGGACTTTGCTTGAGGATTCTGTGTCCTAGTGATGTTCCTTTCCTGGGGGCTGTATCTTGTAGAGAGGCGTGTATGGCAAGACAAGACACACGGCTAAGCTTCCCAGCCGGGTTCAATGCACAGAGGGAAGACTCCTTTTGGAAAGTGCAGAGCACCTCAGCACAGCTGCGAGAGCTTTGGTGAGAGGGCTCTGTCCCTGCCATTAAATAAAGCTGAAGTCACTGCAGCTGGGGTAGGCAGTGCAGCTGTAGGACAGAACTAAGCAACCCAG